TAAAAAAAAAAAAAAAAAAGAAAAAAAGAAATCTAAGTACAGAGAAGTACCCAAAGACACAAGGCTAGTAATAGCAGGACTAGGATTCAAACTCAGATGGGCTTAACTCCCAAAGTGATACTTTTAAATCCTATAATTTGTGCCACTTTACGGATGAAAGTTAATAGTTATTAAGGTGAGGGAACATTTAGGGATGATGAACATGTTCTAAAATTGGACTGTGGTGATAGTTGCACAATTATGTAAATTTACTAAAAATCACTGAACTGTGCACTTAAAATAAGTGAACTTTATGGTATGCAAATTATACTTTAATAAAGCTGCTAAAATAGTCATTAAATGCTTTTTATAAAAAAGTTTTCACATTTTTAATTTTATTTTTTTAATCCTCACCCAAGGATATTTTTTCCATTGCTTTTCAGAGAGAGTGGGAGAGAGAGAGAAAGAAAAACATCAATGTGAGAGGGACACATTGATTGGCTGCCTCCAGCACAGGCCCCAACCAGGGCCAGGGATGGAGCCTGCAACTGAGATAAATGCCCTCTGCTGGAATCGAACCCATGACCTTTCAGTCCGAGGGCCGATGCTCTAACCACTGAGCCAAACCGACTAGGGCAGTTTTCAAATTTTTAAATGTAGTAACTTAAAAATATAAAGTCACTTCAGATTGTCCCGTGAGCACAGCAATAGCCCTATTAAATAATTATATTGCTTTGGCTATTTCATTCACATATATTGCAAACTGACATTTTAAAAATTGTTTTTAAATGTATTACCAATCTCCTCTATTACAGGTTCATCTTTTCTACCTCTGATTTAGAGGGAGAAACATGGAAATTAAAATTCATAAAGTATCTGCTCTGGGCCAGTCACTCCTCCGAAGTGTTACTAGGCCCATTTTATAGGTAACTCATGAACTGCTGCAGCATTAAATAACTTACCAGAAGCTATAAATTGTGGAGCTGAGAATAAAACTCAGCTCTGTGTGAGTCTGAAGTATAAGTCGCTATGAGAAAAATATATCAAACAAAACCTACTGTCTGCAAGAAGGCAATCACGATCTATTCCTACCCACCCTACCCTATGAGATGAGTTAACTCATTCTTGGCCTTGCCTCAACCTGTCACTTCGCTGGAACATTCCATAGCAACCAACATGCAGGGCACCACCAGAGAAAAGTTTTAACTATCTTGAACAATAAAGCTAAAAGCAGGAAATAGACACAAAAAGAAAAGTAAATGAAGGCTTATTATTATAGTACTATTCAGTATTACAATTCTCAGAAGAGTATCAATTTACAGATAAAATAGTAGTCTGAGATATTTGAGAAAGAGCAAGGTTTTTCCAAGAATAATACTCTGTGAAGAAAAACCCGGTTTTGATTGTAAAATTATCTCTTCCCAAAATATATAGATTGAATTGTAACCCTATACTATGTACAACATCCTACATATAAATAATTTCATATGCTAATCTTAGTATTAATGGAGAAATACTTGGGACAAGTATGATGAGAAGGGCTTTTGATTTAGAGGGGAAAAGGCCTTAAAAACTTGATAAAGAAGGGTTAAGAAAGCTACAAAGGGTTCATTTAGGTGGCTTACTTTCCCAGTGTGCAGAGTAACAAAAAGAAACATTGCTACCTCCAACTTAATACCAAAGTTAGAAGAAACAGTAAAAAAGATAAACCCATTCTTGGGGAAGCTGCCTGATCTGAAGCTGAAACAGTACTCTAAGACCTGAATGACAGTCTCTAACTTTGTGTACATAGTCTGAAGCTCCAGTTTCTACTCTATGAAACAAAGTTATACATCGTATGCAAATATGCTGAAGAGGACAATCAGCAGTTATTAAGAAGTTATAGAAAGAAAAGGCCAGACTCAAAAGTATCATCTTTAAAGGACTGTGAAATACTAAGCAGAAAAACCGTATCCATTATAGCAAAACAGCAAAGAATTATTTCCTTTCAGTTTTTGCATTAATATTCTGCTGAAGAGTACATATACTATATACTGTCAAGTACATAAATATATCATCACCATTTAGTGGTAATCCAAACATCAAGGACATAATGAGAACTAATAACCAAAATCAGGACTATTTTGGAATACACTAGGCATTTTAATTCATCTGTCATCTTGTTAACTCCTTTCAAATTAAATGCAAATTTCTGAAACTGGATGTTTCCTTTGTAAAAATTGATGTCCCCTTAATTAAGGTTCTTTGCTAAATTATAAAGATAATTCAGTCCCATAGAAAAGGTTCAAGAATAAATTTTGAAGACTAGGACAAATATTTTAACAAGACTTTAGTTTTTCAGGTCACGTCTTGAAATCGTTCTCCTGCTACAATAATGGCTCCTTTTTGTAGAGGAAGTTTGCTCCTCCTGTACCCAGAAGTTATTTTGAGACACAATGACAAATCTGATTGGCAAGTGGTCAATAATCTTGAATGTAGGGGAAAAGGCTCACAATGAAAAGAAAATCTAACTTGTGCCTCAAAATTTCTATTTCAGATTGTTAAATACTAACCTATAGACTGAGGAATCCAATAAAATTGAGACAGTTTAAGGAGCAGCACTAATATTCTGTTTCTTTAACTTATTCCACTTTACTATTTCTTTCCCCACAGGCACACTACAATCCTTTTTTAGAGGAGCTAAAAAACATATTTCTATCTCCAACCTGTCTTGTTTAAATTTTTTTTAAAAAATTTGATCCCTATCACTGTCCTCCTAGACTCTATTTCTACTCCCTCACCTTTCAGTTTCAAACTACCACTTTTTCCCAGCCACTATTTTGAAACGACTTTTAATTGGCATACCAACAACCTTCTTATGAAGTTCAATGGTCACAGCTCAGTCCTTACCTTGCTTCTTTCTATACAGCATTAATAATGTTGACCAGTCCAGCTGGTGGTGTTGCTCAGTGGTTGAGCATCAACCCCTGAACCTGGAGGTCACAGCTGGATTCCCAGTCAGGGCACACGCCCAGGTTGTAGGCTTGATCCCGGGGGTGGGGGGTATGTGTGTGTGCAGGAGGCAGCCGATCGATGATTCTCTTTCATCACTGATGTTTCTCCTTCTCTCTCCCTTCCTCTCTTTGAAATCAATTAAAAAAATAATAATAATGTTGACCACTTACTCCAGGAAACGCTGCCCCCCTTGGCTTCTATAATGGCATACTGTCCATGTATTACACTGACTGACAGCCCACTCCTTGGTGCCTCTCTTGAGGGCGTCTCCTTCTCTGCCCATCACTGGAGTATGAGTGGGTCCCTCAGAATTCCTTCCTCACTTCTCTACAAAACTTCCTTGTGTGATGTTACCTATTTCTCAAGTTCAGACCTCTCTTCAGAGTGCCAGGGCAATATAACCAGTTGGCTACTAGTTCTTCATGTCCAACTAGGATCTCAAACCATCTCAACCTAACCAAGCCTTTTGTTCTCTAAGTGAATGAATGAGTGACTTAGGTGCTGAGAGAAGCATGGGGAATCATCCTTGACTACTGCCTTTTCCCCAAATCTGCCTCCTCAACT